TTTCCCTCTGAATGTGATTAATTGAAGCGCTGGCCGTAAAAGCTGAAATTATGATTAGCTCATTGTTCCACACGAGGCCAAGAAAGTTTCATTCGACGAACTGGAGACTGGCCAAAAACAACAGCTTCTGTATTCACGGCACACAGAAGAGGAAAATCCTGAAATATTCAGCAGTCGCCGCTCCGTGTGCGTCTCCGTCAGCTTCAGGCACTCCAAAAATAGCAGCACTAAATGCAAAAACACCTCATTACTTCCAGACCAGGACAACAGGTGCATAAGAGGAGGAATTGCTTTATTTTATTGTTAACGTTATTATTCGTCTAAAAAAAAAAGCTAAGGTAATATGTATAATATTTGTGAAAAAGTTAAGAGACAATGATATTCTTGATTCATATTTATTATTTGTATTTATTAATGAAATATGTATTGTTATTGTCATTATTATTAAATAATTGGACATCAAGTATTAAATATGATTAATGTTTGAGGTATTGTGGTAAAATATTGCAAATTTGGCAACATTTTCTCAGCACTTCAATATAATTTTAAATGTGGTGTTTATTATTTTTATGTAATTAATTAAATATGTATTATTATTTTGTTATTATTATTACTAAAGGATTGAATGTTAGGTATTTAATATGATTACTTTTTGCATATTGTGATAAAATATTGCAAATTTTGCATTTCAGTATTTAAATACAATTTTAAATGTGGTATTTATTATTTTTATGTAATTAATTAAATATGTATTGTTATTATTATTATTATTATTATTATTATTATTATTATTATTATTATTATTATTATCATCATCATCATCATCATCATCATCGTCATTAAAGTATGTTAAGTATTAAATACAATTATTATTTTAGAGGTTGGGCTAAAATATTACACATTTTGCTAATATTTTCAGTATTTATATGCAATTTAATAGGCTTTATTATTTTTTATTTAATTTATTAAATAAGTTTCAGTAGTAGTATTATTAAAATGTCAGATGTTAAGTGTTAAATATGATTATTGCTTTAGATATTGTGCCAATATATTTTCCACATATTTTCATTATTTTAAATCAATTTAAAATTTTTATTATTTTTATTTATTCATTTATTTATAAATTTATTAAGATGGTTGTTTGTATTATAATTTATTATTATTATAATTCATTATTATTATTTAATTATTAATTATTTATTATTATTTTAAAATATCAGATGTTAAAAATTAAATATGATAATTGTTTTATATATTATCAAAGTATTTTTAATTCAGCAAATACAGTATTAATATAAATACTTAAATGTACTTAAATGCTTAAACTTTAAATGAGGTATTTTTAATTTTAGTGATATTTTTAATGTTATAATGTTTGTGTGTTTATAAAACAACAGAGTTCCATGTTTATATTGATGTATATAAACATTTTAATGAAGCTAAATAAAATGTGATACATAAAAAACATTTATTTATTCATTCATTTTTTTATTTATTCATTTTGTATTTATTATTTATTCTAATGCAATAGTTACACTATATGTGAGTAAAAATCATGACATATACTGTAGCGAATGTATTAATATTTATGAAAGCATCTCATTTAAGTGCAATGTTTATATTATTTCACATAATGCATTAAATAAACAGGAAATATTTGCATATGCACACACTATTATAGGATTCTCTTATGTGCTGTGAGTAAACTAACATTAACAACTAATGCTCTTGAGCTGAAATCTTCTGTAAATGTCTGTCCGCTGACTTTAGACAAACAGTTATGGTCTATTCTACAAACACACACACTTCTTCCTCTTTAATGCTCTTAAAGATACCGTGCTTTCTTGTGTCTCTAATTCACACCCACGCCTCTGTTGTGCGGACTAATGTACAGTGTGTATTTAAGCAAATAAATTGAGCAGGATGTTGTAAAATGCAACAGTTTAATTACTAAAGTCAGCCAGCATTAACACTCGCCCACAACACACACTTTAGTGTTGCTCTTAACACTCAAATAATACAGGAAGAGCATTAAATGGCAAACAACCCATCTTAAAAAAAAAGCTTTTATGTCTTCGGTGGTGAGACGAGGAAAACACTCAAAGGCCAAATCACAGAAAACGCCAGACTTCACGGTGCTGTCTTTCCATTTAAACTTTCCAGGTTTCATAGTTCGTATGTGAACATGACACCTTTTTTGTTGTTATTTCATGCAGCGACAACAAAAAAAATGTCTAAAATAAATCTGGAAGAATGAATCAATGAATGAATGAATTTGTTTATTTTGTTGTTTGTTTTATTATTATTATTATTATTATTATTATTATTATTATTATTATTATTATTATTATGTTATAATTATGTTGTTGTTATTTCATGCAGGGACCACAAAAATGGCTAAATTAATTCTGGAAATTTTTATTTTTTAATTTTTAATTTTATTTGTTTATTTTTTGTTTTATTATTATTATTATTATTATTATTATTATTAATAAAAATAATAATAATAATAGACCGCCTGTCTCAACCTTTTGCCTGTACTCTGACTACACTTTTGAATGACCTTTATGTTCCTCTTTGCACCTGTTGTGGTCTTTGGCTGCCTGACGATTCTTAAATAAACTGCACATGGATCCTCATATTCATTGTTAACCTGACCAAACATTACAACTATAAAATACATAGTATAATTATATATTATGTTAAGTGTCAAACTAATATTATACATTTAATCATATATATATATATATATATATATATATATATATATATATATATATATATATATATATATTTTTTTTTTTTTTTTTTTTTTTTTTTTGAATGTGTTCAATGCAGTATATTCTACTACTATATGCTACTATTGCCAAAGTTACCCAGTTGCCCACCAGACAGATTAGAGGGCACTGAACACATCACATATGCCACTTAACCAGACTACATATTCCATCATGTACTTCACACACACATCAGTTCCAAATCACAACTGATTACACACAGCTGCAGCTCATTAGGACAGATTACCAGGACAATAAATACACCTCACTCACACACACTTTGCTGAGTCTTGTATCCTGTAAGTGAGCAATCCAAAGCGTTTTCCTGCCAAGCCTTACCATGCTTTTGGCCCTTGTTTTGTTTATTGTTTTGCTGCCTGCCCTGACCTTTCGCCTGTACTCTGACTACGCTTTTGGATTACCTTCTAGTTCCTCTTTGCCTTCCTGATGATTCTTAAATAAACTGCACATGGATCCTCACCTCCGTTGTCAACCCAACTTAACATTACAACTATAAAATACATAATGTAGTATAATTGAATCTTATGTTAAGTGTTATGTTTTTATTAGAAATAATGAATAATTAATAATTAATAATGTCTTTTAATAAAGAATGTATAATAAAGAGATAGTCTTAAAGTGAACAATTATTCGCTGTTTACTCAAAATCTGACCATCTTTTTTGAACAACAGCCCTTCTCTAATGATGTCAGCTTGACAGCTTAAATTAAACATGCTTAGCCACGCCCCTCTAACCAATAAGATTCTGCAAGTATAAAAATTGATAGGAGCACAAAAATAAAGCCCCGCCCCCCCTACTCAACATTCCAATAAATCATCATACTGTAATAAAAGTCATCCTGTTCACGTTTACTACGAGAGAGTGTGTGAACTCATCAGACAGACTTCTGAAAGGAGGACTGTGAGCGTCTGCTTGCGGTGGAGAGAGATTGATGGAGGGATGGAGAAACAGCAGATCTTCTGTCGGTGCAGTTTGGCAGTCGCTCTCACTTTCTACCCGCTATTTAAAACTTGGCAGCATCTTGTGCGATGATTCATTCTCTACTGATGACTGTAAGAAATGACAGAGAGAGAGAGAGATACTGTATGTCCAGAGCGCTCACATTCAACATCTCCGCTATTTATACCTCTGGAGATTCAAGAGGAAACTGAAAACACTCTAAATGTTTAATCCTCAAGGATGCTGATGCAGACTACATCTTATATATTATTAGTACAGATACAGTTAAAGTCAAAAGTATTCATTTTTCTTTTTTTCCCTCAAATATTTCCCAAATCATGTTAACAGAGAATTTTTTTTACAGTATTTCCTATAATATTTTTTCTCCTGGAGAAAGTCTTATTAACCTAATTAACCTTATTAAGCCTTTAAATGTCACTTTTAGCTGAATACTAATATCTTAAAAAATATCTAGTAAAATATTATGGCATTACTAGCAGTAGTTCGCCAGTAACTTACTGTAAATCAATAACTGCAAAACTATTGTTTATACATTTACAGCCCCATTTACGTTCTAAAAATAACTCGCCATAGGCGAAATCCATGAAGTAGCTTTATTTTTTAACAATTATTATAGATGTTTAAGGCTGTAAAACCCTTCACTTTATACACTTCTCAGACAGGCATTCACATTTTTACACTTTCCTCTTTTGTTTAAGCACTCAAAGTTCAAACCTTTGTAGAAAAATAGGTCCAGTTTTATAGAATGAAACCAAAGATCAAAACCTGTTGTCAGGCGCAAACATTCATCACTTTCAGCATAAGGTTCATAAAGCTTTTTAGCTTTAGTGCGGATAATGTTGGCATCCAGTGTAATGTTCTTTATCCTGCACAAAACGAAAGCAGAATCCATCTTTAATGGGGTCGCACACCGGATGCACCAATCATGACATCACATTCGCATGTTATTTAAAATGAAATTATTCAGATGGCGCTTTGTGGGACGGCAGAAATATGAACAGTGTCCTTAGTCGTACCTGGGTACCACAGACAGCCACTGAATTGCGGCACAGGTGCGCGTACCCTTGATGGAAACCTATGCTTACAATTCTAAAATGCATGAGACTGTGTGGCCTATCATAGCGAGGCGCATCTGGTGTGTGACCCCCTTTACGATAGTCTTGCTGTGGACAGTTACAACCCTTTTTGTATCCTTGTTTGAACTCACACTGCTAGCGATCGAAGGTTTATGTTAATTTGACAAGTTGAACGCATTCTATATTGTACAGGAGACACGGAGGAGATTGATTGACAATTGTCTTCAGCCAATCAGAACGTAGAACACGGAAAAATCTGCAAAACTGCGAAAGGTGAACCGCGTTAAAGCAAGGGACCACTGAATATGTATTTACAGTACTGTTTGTCTTTACTGTAAAATATGCTCTCATTTTCACAATGCAACCTAAGTATACAGTAACATAATGCATAACTGTCTTACAGTAAAATACTGTTTATATTACACTTAAAAACTGTGTTATTTACCAAAATCAGTTAACTGTGTTATATTGGTGTATATTGTGGTGGATTGGAGAATGAACAGACATCTTATACAAACACACACACACACACACACACACACACACACACACACACACACACACACACACACACACACACACACAAAAGCCTTTGGTACATGAAAGAGATGATAACCTTTGATGCTCGGACAGAAGATGACAAGTACATCTGCATGACCTTCTTGTGCCCATCTGTTTTAGTGTGTGTGTGTGTGTGCGTAAGCGTGTCAATGGTGATGCCAAAATGAGAATTCAACAACTTAAGCCAAACATTCATTCATTCATTTTCTTGTCGGCTTAGTCCCTTTATTAATCCGGGGTCGCCACAGCGGAATGAACCGCCAACTTATCTTATTCCCATCTCTGGGAAAAAGCCAAACATTTTATGGCTTAAAACATATGTAGTAACTGATAATAAAGAATTAAAGTATTATTTTTGAATTATTAATATTTTAAAGAATAATCACTTCATTTATATAAAATTTTACGTTATTTTTTTTGTTGTTGCTTCAGAAGTCATTCAATTATGTTAATTTTCTGCTCAAGAAATTGATTGTAATTTGCTGCTTTGCTCTTCTATTGTTATTGCTATAGTTCACAATATTTTCATTATTATCCATTAGGGGTCGCCACAGCGGAATGAACCGCCAACTTATCCAGCATATGTTTAACACAGCGGATGCCCTTCCAGCTACAACCCAGTTTTGCGAAACACTCATACACACTCGTATTCACAGTCATACACCACGGCCAATTTAGTTTATTCAATTCATCTATAGCGCATACGTTTGGACTGTGGGGGAAACCGGAGCACCCGGAGGAAACCCACGCCAACATGGGGAGAACATGCAAACTCCACACAGAAATCCCAACTGACCAACTTGAGGCTCGAACCAGCGACCTTTTTGTTGTGAGACGTCTCCACTGCACTCAGAAATCATTTCGATATGATAAATTGCTACTCAAAATTTTTTATTTTTTATTTTAATATGCTGCTTTATACATTTGTGGAAGTCATCTTTATGTTTGCTTTGTTTATTATTTATATATATGTTTATTTCTGTGATGATTTAGTTGAATGCAAAATATTAGCCCTCTTGTGAAGCTTTTGTCCTTTTTTCAAATATTTCCCAAGTGATGTTTAATACAGTCAGTCAGTCAGTCAATCATTATCCTGATAGCACAATCTTATTGGTCCAGATTCTTGGCTCATTTGAATGTACATTAAACTTCAACTTCTGATTGGCTGTAATCCTGCTCTAGTTTTATTTGAATGTGTCGTTTGTGTGTGTGTTGTGTGTGTGTGTGCTGACAGACGAGTCTTTTGCTGTTGATTAATTGTTCTTCAATCTGTGTTTGTCATTGTCCCTCAGCACTCGTCAGTGTCACCTGCTGCTGGATGTGTTCAACTCCACTGAACACCAGCTCACGCTCTCTGCCAAAAACAACCAGGACCTGGTGCTGCACGCCAGCGAGTGTCAGAGGTCAGAGAACACACACACACACACACACACACACACACACACACACACACACACACACACACACACACACACACACACACACACACACACACACACACACACACACACACACACACACACACACTCACACTCCATCATACTCTCTCTCTCTCTCATACACACACACACACACAAACAAACTCTTGCACACTCTGACACTTTCTCACAAACTCTCTCACACATACACTCTCTTTTTCTGTCTCTCTCTCTCCCTCTCTCTCTCACACACACACACACTCCTCTGAGATGTAATGTAGCACTGTCTGTATGTCTGTCTGTCTGTCTGATTGAAGTGTGTAGACGATGAGACGGCATTAGTTGACCCTCTCCAGCACTGACAGCTCTCCATTTGATGAAAGTTACTCTCCTGAACCTGACTGCAGCGGGTCACCCTTTCTGACTGTCATACACACACTCATACACTGTGTGTGTGTGTGTGTGTGTGTGTGTGTGTTTGATGTGCCTCTCTGAAAGTGCCTTCAGGATGTTTCTTGAAGATGCACAGAGAAATGCAAACTCTAGGAGACAGGATTCACCACATCACATGCTTTCGTTTGAAGGAGAGAACCAAGAAATGCCAACCTGACAGTATTTTATCCGGATTCAAAGTGTTTTTATTTTATTTAAAAGACAGTAAAATAGTAATATTATGCAATACTATT